ATTCTCTTAGGGTATTTGCGATTAATTAGAGTGTTTACTCTAATTTTGTACTCTCTTTTGTACTCTTATTCTTATAGTTTATTGCTCCTCCNTCTTCCTTTCTTCCTTTATTAAGAGTATTTTGTATGAGAGTTAAGTGTTGGGAAGCACTTGTGTGAACCCTTTCTTTGGAGTGATCTTGTGAGGCTATTCTCTTAGGGTATTTGCGATTAATTAGAGTGTTTACTCTAATTTTGTACTCTCTTTTGTACTCTTATTCTTATAGTTTATTGCTCCTCCCCGCTTGTGGACGTAAGTCACTTTGACCGAACCACGTTAAATTTGTGTCTTCTTTATCTACTTTAATTGTCGTTGTTATCAACTTCAATTGTCTTTGTTATTATCATTATACTATTGTTTGGCTATATTCCGCACTATCCGGGTTCCCGATCCTAACAAAGGATATGTTTGGCCCTTTGCCGTACTTAATTTCTTAAATACCACATCGGCTCTTTAATTATAAATTGAAAGAAACAGCAATACGAAATTTGTTCAGCGAGTTACTTGAATTGTGTTATATGAATTATAAGCTAGCGCGTCAACATATTGCTAATACTTTAATTTTATTGGAAATGACCTAAAAACTTTCTATTTTGACTTCTTGTAGTATATATTAATGTTTGTAATGGTCAGGTGGAAACAAATTAAAAAATACAATAGCAATATTTGGATTTACTACGCTCAATTCTTATAGTAGCAAACTGTGTGAACGGATAAATATCTGATTATAAAGAGCACGACTCTAGAATGGAGTAAACGGTAAAACCTCTAACAGGGTTATTCCAACATTATCATCCTTAACTAATGATCGCGAATTTGAGCCAAAAATTAATAAAAAATTCTTTGGCAAGAATTGCTTTAGAATTTTTAGTGAACGTACATAGTATACAGTATGAATTCAGATTGGTTAATTAGCGAAATTTAAATATAACAATAATAACAATAATATAATGTGTATACAGATTTTACCATTAACTTGTAAAAATAGAAAAACTGTTTCACATAAATTATCGGCTAAAATCAAAATTTAAATACGGATAGTAAGAAAAAGGATAAAAACTCAAATTGAAAGTAGTTATGCGTCATATAATCTGAGGTCATGAATAATGACGGTGAAATAAAAATGTCAAAAAAGAACTAAACGTAGGTCCAGACGAAGACTTATTTTAATACTAATTTAGCATGCACCAGGAACAAGACCCCGTGTCCCATGACTATTAGTTAGTTGGTGAGCATTCATTGAACCTCACTCAATGGGCTCAATATAGGATTTGGTTACGTACATGGAATTATTATAATTTTCTACGTGTGTCCACATTCAAGATTCATGAACTAGTTTAACAAAATTATTATGTCGTCCACATCCATTTTACAGTGGAAGAAACTATAGTAGCAGTATTAGCAGTACAAGACTTGTACAAATTTCAACGGCTGAAAGGTGGAATAAAGAAGAAAGAAAAAAACAAGAATATGCATTTGAAATTCAATTCAACCAAGCGTGCGGTCTTTTGCTTATACTTACAAAACATAGGTCTCAGACTATTATTTGCTATATTACATTCTTCTTAATTTTAGCAAATGGGTTGTTGAAGTACGACCTCTATTTTCACATTTTTTGTTTTTTTGTTTATCTGCGGGTCCCTACCAACCACTTGAACATTCCTGTCCTAACCTTTGTTTCTACTTCACTTTTGAAACTGTGACAAGATTTCTTGCCCAATGTTTTTATTCTTGATCGACAGTTTTAGATTTAGTTTGCTAATTAATTCAGATTTTAATTAGTAGTATTACTTTAGATTTAGTTTGTTGATTGAGATTTTAATCAGTATTACTTTAAAGAAACAATGTAGAACGGTAAATATATTGATAAACTTCACAAATCACACTATATACTTCATGATGCATTTTTTCTATATATAGACGAATATTAGACGCTCAAATTGGATTCCATAAATGTCTAAAGACGAGGCAACTTAAGTTATTATCCATTTTGGGATAATCTTAATCCTGATAGCAAAACCAGAAGATTTAGGCTCTACTATGACGACTAGAAAATAAAACCACAGGTAGGATTTAAAGACAAGCTTATCATCAAACCTCTGACAGGGTTTATCCCTAATTTTTTTTATCATGTTTGGATTTTTTTTTACTTAAAGGAAGGGAAAAGACCTTGCCATAATTGATTTTATTTTTCATAAAATTAAAAATATAATTTTTTTCAATATTTGGCATATCCCTTTCGTAGAGAAAAAAGTTTGTGGACCATTATAAATTGAGGAACCTGCTTTCATATAGAACACGATAGTATCCACAATGTAGTCATTAAAAGAGTCTTGTTAATGGAGTCATGATTATTCTCTCAATAGTTTTTATATTATTTTTATATTAATTTTCTCATATGTAGGCCAATTGACTAAATAATATTAAAATATAATATGCTTCTTTTAGTATAATTTTCTTTGTCGTCTGATTTATCGTTGCTAAAGTTTGCTTTGTTCACTTCCGTATCATGCTTTATTATTTCGATCCCAACAACCTAAGTATTTCTCATCCTTACTGATGTTTTATACTTCAATGCCACACAAAAAGGGGGGAGGGAGATTTGTATGATGTCCAATTTTTCCCATGCACAGATTATACTTGGTTCTTCTATGTGTTCCTTATACTACTGTTGCGGAATAATAAATGCGGAAAGTAAAGAACATAAGTATTTTTTACGTGAAAAACACCTGGCTCAAAAGGTAAAAAAACCCACGACCTACTACCCAGTAGGATTTTTTCCAACACTTCACTAAATCACTGAGTCAAAATAATATTTACAAAACTCTTTGTAAACCTAAGGATTACCTCTAACCCTTTGTGGCAACCAACCTCTAGCTGTTGCGACAACTTCAAGTTAACTCTAACTTGAGTGCAACACTCAGAGTACCTAGTACAATTGCTTCTAGATAAAGCTGAAAGGTACAACTCAAAAGCTCTACTACAATGAAACTAGAATAAAAGACAGATACTTGGAACTAGATTTTCTATCTGATTCATGTAGCTTCAGGTTCGCATACTTAAATCACACAGGAATTGCTTGCAAAATGCCTTGCTATTTTGCTCTCAACTCACGTTTAACTTCAGCGTTTGTGCGCACCTATAAAATGAGAACATCCTGCAATATATAGAGTTAGTAGAATAGGAAATAACTAGAGTTCTAAAGTTATACTCTTGTATGGTGGAAGAGTTCTAGTTATCTTCAACTTCTAACTCCTCCCTTATCTAGGATAGAGTTCTCTTTAAGTAAGGAGTCCTTCTCCTTATCACTTATGCAATTTTTTCGTTCAGGAGATATAGGATAAAACCACTTAAGCTTATCTCCTTCACGTGTATGCCTTGTGCTCGAATTTGCTTGTGTATGTGTACACTATGTATGAGATCATCAAAACAATCTTCACTTAGGCCAACAAATTTTCCATTTTTGATGATGACAAACGTTGTGCTCTTCATAAGCATAAGACTTGTTTCAACTCAGCTCAACATCAACACATTGTAAGAACACTTACCTATTTAAAGTCACAAATCCTCAAGGACTAGGTTCATTAGGTTATAAACATCACAGTCCAAAGCAAAAAGCACAACCTATCTTCCCCCTTTTGGCATCATCGAAAAGTTGCATAATTATGTTAGATAACTATATTTTAATAGATACTACTCATGGCCACTAGGGCTACTTCAAATGCAATCACGGAGTCAAGCATCATATCAATCTAATGATATTAGCTATCTAAAAAGCATCAACAAACAGTTAGAGCACAAAAACAGTTGATTAACATTGATACTAGTCATCCACAAAGCATAAAGAAAAATAAAGATACTGGATCATGAACAAAAAGAAATCACATCAGGGTCACTGGTTTGTCTAACTAGGCTAGGAAGGTTTCAAGGCTGGGAAGGACTAGGTTCTTGATTTTTGGCTTGAAGTAGCTTTAACATATCATGAAGAATGCCTTCATTCTTCTCCTTCTCCTTTGCAAGCTCAGCCCTGAGATCATCCCTCTCAGTTTCTACTTCAACCAGCCTCTTTTTCGGCCTCTCAATCTCAGCATCCTTAGCTCCACTCTCTTGTACCAAGGCTCTCACTTTGCTGTTCACAGGCACCTTCTTGGATGAACCAGGTTCTTTAACAGTAGCATGGACTTCATAGTCACAAGCAGTCAAGGTGTTTGCTCCAAAGTGATTCTTGCTTGTACTAATATCCCATTTCTTTAAGGGAACCTTGAAGTGATCCAATACAGTGGTTGAGAATGAAACCATAGGGTATGGCGTGAGTTTTGGTGCCAATAATAAATTTAGGCCAATTAATCTGCCTCCCACTATCCAGGCATCCCATAAAGACCAAGTCTATGAATGTGGCAATTTGCCTTTTTTCCTGCCTGGGCAATATGACCTTGTTAACAAATTCAAACAACACTTTGTGGGGTGGATTCATCTCACTTTTGTATACAGCCTTGGCCTCTAGCTCTAACTCATTGTCAGCAAACTTCCTTGTAATGGCAAGGGAGGTAAGGAGGTTCTCTAGGCTTGGCCATTTGAGATTTTTGTAATCATTGTACCCTTCAGCAAGTACACCCAGAATCTCTCTCAATTCTTTGTCGTCGAAGCTTACAGTCACTCCCTTCACCACACTGGTGACTCTGTCATTTTTTATCTCAAAATTTTCCATAAACTCTACAATCTCAACCCTGGCAAGCCTTCTATCCATCTGAAGGACCATGTCCTTCCAACCTTGCAGTTGTAGTTTTTCCAGTAGCATGACCATGCCTTCCTCCTCCAAGTCCTTGAGGAGTCTACCCTTCAAGATGGTTCTTTTTCCAAACTTCTCCTTCTTGTCTTGTTCTTCACCGGTTTCTTCTTCTTCTTATCATGTTCTTCATCAGTTTTTTCTTCTTCTTCACTCTCTAATTCTTCTACTATTTTCACTTTCTAGATTTCACGACAGACTTAGTTCTTTTCACCAAGGTAGAAGGTTCTGCAGACTTTGTCTTTGAAGGGGACTTCTTTTTGGAAGTCTTTCTTTTCTTTGTCTTTGGAGTCGCAACCTCTTCCTTGTCTTCATCACGAAGAACCAGGTCCATCTCCTTAATTTCAACTGCCTCAACATGCTCAACCATTTTCTTCTTTCCCTTTGAAGCAACTTTTCTTTTACTGTCTTCTAGGGCTTTTTCCAGTTCAGCCTCACTTTGCTTCTTCTGACTCCTTGTATCTCTTCCTCTTGTAGGAGGAGTCTCTACAGGGATAGAAGAGGCAGCCTTTCTCTTCTTGCTTGCCCTAACAGTTCCAAGGATTTTAACTCCTAAACTCTTCTTCTGTTTAGGATTGTAACTGTCAGACACTCGTTTCAATAGATCTTCGAGGGGTTCCTTCACAGATGGAACAAGTTCTTGAATATTCTTCCCTAACTAACCAACCTCTCAATAGCTTCTCCAGACCCACTACCCCCTTTTTTCTCTCAAACTTTCTTCCTCTCCAGCAGATTCCTCACTGCTCACTACCATAGCTCTTGTTTCTTCAGTCAACCCAACAGGAGTGGGTGAAGATTTAGCCGCTCCTTTTCCCATTCCCCTCACATAACCTTGAGTACCCTCACTCTCTTTTTCTTTTTTCTTTTTATTTTTACTACCCAATTTTCCAGATTCAGTTGTTTCAACCCCAGCCATAGTTCCTACCAAAACCAAACTATTTTCCAGTTTTTCAGCAACCTCAGAGATTGTCTCAGATGTAATTTTTTGACTAGATGTTACCTGCTCTATTTTATATGAAACAGTTTCTTCCCCCTCAGTTGCACACTTAAATGATTCTTCAAATTTTTGGGGTTCTTCTGCCCGACTTGCTTTTAATTGCTCATTGATTTTCTTGATTTGTTCTCCTCCAGCGACTACCTTGCGAGCAATCATCTTGAACCTTCCTTTCTTAGAGGTAGGTGTGGGTGAAGGTGTGATAGATGGTGTGAGTGTAGTTTCCTTAGGTGGTGATGAGGGATTCTCAAAAAGGTTTGCCATTGTTGTGTTTGGATGAGTGTTTTAGAAAAGATGAGAGAAGATTGTGAGAGTTGTTTGACGGCAGGGTAGTTTCGAATTGGAGAAATGGCTAAGTCCAAATCAAATTTAAAGAGGGTAGATGATCTTAATCATCCATAATTCTAATATTTTCCTTTCAAAGTGATCTCTACTTAGAGCTTTTGTGAAGATGTCAGCTATTTGTTTGTTAGTAGCATAAAATTCCACAGTGATCAAACCTTTTTTCATAGTTGTTCCTCAAAAAGTTATGCATAACATCTATGTGCTTAGTTCTTTTGTGATGAACCGGGTTCCTGGTCAAACTAATTGCACTAATGTTATCACAAAAGATGGGGATACAACCTACATCAATTATAAAATCCATTAATCATTGTTTGATCGACAACAATTGAGCACAACATGAGGCAACAGCAACATACTCAGCTTCAGCAGTAGATAAGGTCCCAGAATTTTGCTTTTGGTAGCCCAAGACACAAGACATGAGCCAAGAAAATATGCCATACCAGAGGTGCTTTTTCTATCCACAAGAAAACTCGCATAATCAGTATCAGCATATCCCACTAAGTTGAAATTACTACCTTTTGGATACCATAGACAAAGGTCAGTGGTGCCTTTTAGGCATCTCAAGATCCTCTTGACAACAGTCAAGTGAGACTCCTTTGGATTTGCCTGAAATCTAGCACAAAGTCCTACACTGAAAACAACGTTAGGTCTGCTAGCAGTGAGATATAACAAGGAGCCAATCATTCCCCTATACAACTTTTGATCAACAGATGAACCAGGTTCATCTACATCCAATTTTGTGGTTGTTGCTATAGGAGTGTCAATTTCTTTGGAATCTTCCATTTTAAACCTTTTAAGCAACTCTTTCACATACTTCTGCTGATGGATCATAGTTCCATTTGAATTTTGTTTAATTTGTAAGCCTAAGAAGAAATTAAGCTCACCCATCATACTTATTTCAAATTCATTCCCCATTAGTTTAGCAAATTCTTTACTTAACTTATCAGTAGTTGCTCCAAAGATTATATTATGACAAGAGAGGGATGAAGATTCAATACGGATTCACACTCTAAGAAATTTGCAACAAAGTTATACTGTGTAATCGCAATGAGATTTGCAATTCTAAGAGAGCACGGTACAATCTTTCTCAAGAATATTATACGGATTTTTCTCTACTTCGATCCGTCGTCACGTGTTTTATCACAAAAGACGTGTGTTAGAGGGATTGTCAAGGAAATCGACTTAGGTATGTTAAGGCTATTCCTTCTTTCCTTTTGGCGTGATCCAAATAATACAAATAAAACGAGCAAAATACGCAACTTTCATAAATGAATCTATTCATAGAAATACTAGGGGTGTCTATATTCTTGATTCCCCATGTGAATTATTATTATATCTTCTGTTCACGGGTCTCAGAAAAATACGTATTTGATAAAGTATCCGAAAGGAATATTGATTTTTATGACATTCTGAGAAATCTTATTAACGTAATTCTTATGCACTTCATGCATTTATACATGTATATTGACCTATGACCAGATGGCATTATATACGCGTATATTATATGTATATGGGATATGGAAAAAGGTTATGGCGTTATATACGCACCACCACCTGATCAGCTGGTATACGTTGATGATTTGTCCACAGTGGCTGAAATAATATGATGGGATGCCCTCAGAGGCTTGATGATGTTATGAATGTATATACCTATGCATGGTATGACATTTATACGCATAGGCATGACATTATAAAAATGAAATAATTCACAGAGCTATGAAGACGTACATGTCGAGTCTTTTACTCCATGCTTCTCTCATGTCTATTATTATTACTGATTTCCATTCCTTACATATTCGGTACATTATTTGTACTGACGTCCTTTTTTCCTGGGGACACTGCGTTTCATGTCCACATGTCCCGATAGACAGGTCGAGAGTCCTCCAAGTAGGCTATCAGCTCAGCGGAAGATATTGGTGCGCTCCATTTGCTCCGAAGTTGCTTATTTGGTCAGTATAATTAGGACATGTATTGATTGGTATGGCGGGGCTCAGTCCCGACCTTTATGATATTTATGTACTCTTAGAGGCTTGTAGACAGATGTCAGGTACATGAAGATTGTATGGCCTTGTCGGCCTATGTTTTGACTTTACAAATGATCATGTTGGCCTTATAGGCCTGTATGTCACATGTGTAAGTTTTTATATCAGGTTGGGTCGTCCTATATGGAGTACTCCCCCATGTTCATTCTAGTTAGCCTATGATGGCCCGTTTGGCCCATTTGCCAATAAATGTACGATAAGAATGATATGCTATATTGGTACTCGGTTGAATAAGGTACCGGATGCCCGTCGCGGCCCATCGGTTTGGGTCGTGACAAAAAGGGCCTCGAACTCCAAAGGCCAAAAACCCAAGAAGAGAACATCCCGCAAACCCAAGGGGAACACAATCCTGGTGACTATGGAGTCAGTCCAAAGACTAAGGAAAGAAGAAGAAGAGAAAGAAAATGATTCCTGGCTGGTGGCCAGTGCGCAAGCTAGCACCGAGATTTGGAGATCTTTGGGACCGGTGGGAGTTGATATTGCTCCGTCTAGGCTTGATGAGGTCGAGGAAGAGACTTCGGCCCAAGTCCCCGAGCCGAGAGAAACCGAAGATATTTTATCTCGGGGCAAAGAGACCGTTGAAGAGGTGGTGGATGCCGATGCATAAACGGGGCTTGAGGCCCCCCAATACGGAGGCGGCGCCCCAAAAGACCCACTTGGGGTAATAGAGATCGGGGATTTCCCCTCGCTTCCTTCATTTTCTGAGTTGATGATACGCGACGCTCAGGCCGTGGAGACTTGTCACGGGGAGGGAGCCCACAGAGAGGAAGATCATTTCCGTGGTTACTTTGTTGGTATAGAAGATGTCACTGGTCTAAATAACTTGTAGGCTCCGAAGAAGAGCTTGGGCGAGGCTTCCTTAAGTTTTAAACTGACCAATCGGTTTTCGACCCCTAGTGCCAATCTCGGGCATAAGCGAACAATCGTTATCACGGTCCCGGAGGTTGCCCAGGTACTTGCTGTCCCCGTAGGGGTGGCTAGCTACCTCCGATGTTTGGTCACGGAAGAAGACCAAGCCCAGATTGACAAGATGAGAGTGCCTTGTCTTTTCAACGAAGCCCAACAGGCCCTGAACCGGGTAAGTTCATATTTTCTTTGTCAATTTTCATACTTGTACTTTTGTCCTTATATAATTCCTTATTTCTATTTTTGTAGGCTTCTATGCTTCATCACGAGGCTTTCTTTCGATCCCGAGGGGAGCTGAGCCCTTACGAAGCCAAAAATCGAGGGCTTACTGAGGAGAAAGATGCCTTCAAGTTTCTCAGTGAGTAGAGAGAAGGGGAAGCAAAAGGACTTCGGGCTGAGCTAGAAGCATCTCAGAAAGAACAAGCTGATCTGGCTGAGCAGGTAAAAAGAATCTTTGAAGTTAATAATACTAACTCGGGCGTGGTGGCTAACTGTTCGGTCCCATAGGTCCAGCGAAAGCTCAATGTGATCGGGCGGTTTCGTGAGGAAGTGGACGCAGTGAAAGTGAAGGCCGAGGCGTGGAAGAAGAATATGGACCGCGTTGCCTAAGAAAAGGAAGTTGTCCGAGCTTAACTGTCCTCGGCTGAGACCCAACTCCGAACCTTGAAAGAGAAAGCCTTGGTGCAAGCCGATCGAGAGAGGCTGGCCACAGAACTTGCAGCGGCCAAATTGGAGGTCAAAACGGCCATGACTAATGTTGATGCAATGGTGGCCGTCTACCGGTCCGACGCTGAAGCTTCTCAGGTTCGAGCAAAGAAGGTTGCCGAAGTTGCTCAGGCTCGAGCAAACTGGGTTGCCGAGAATGCTAAATGCCAGTCTCGAAGGGAGACTCTCGAGGAGATCCATGCTCGTGGCTTTGATCTTACAGCCGAGATCGAGAATGCTAAGGAGCTCGAAGCTGAAGCCAGAGTGATAGCCTTTCCTGATGATGATGATTCTGGGAGTATGAGCAGATCTGAAAGCGAAGAAGGCCTCGAGAGCGAAGATGTTGTTCCTGGAGAAGACTAAGCCCTTTAGTATTTTTTGTGTTTATTTTAAGACTGTTTCATTTTTTTGTAGAGAAATTTGATCGGGCCATGTTGCCTTTATAAATGATTTTTGATGTGTATATATAAAAACTTTCTTCCTTTCTGCCTTATAAAATTATGAAGTTGTATTCTAGGGTCCGAGGTTTAGACAATTTGATTGAAACCAAACTAGTATAGCTCTTAGGCTTAATGATCGAGTGAGTGCTTGCTCGAACTCGAAGTAAGGTAATCCTTAGATTTTTTATTTGAGCGAGGATGATCTCTCGAACTCAAAGCAAAAACAGCCCTTAGGCTTTTGCATTAGGCCGATATAGCCTTTGTAAAAAAATTGTTTATGGCTTTCTCCCCTTTTCGGCTTGAAATATTTTTTTATCATTTGTATTTGCAAAACTTGTAATACCTTAGCATGCAATAAGGAACTGTTCAGGAGTTTGAACAATTTTGTACTCATTAAAGTTTTCGAGGTTTGATATTATCGAAGCCTTTTATGATTTTGCCGGGGGTAGCCCTTTTAACTGGCTTTATGAGGGAATTCGAAGGCCTATTTTGTTATGAAATTTGGATGTCTCTGAACCGTGTTAATTCGGCCGTAGTCTTTTTAGTTCGGGATTTGCCTCTTGGTCTTATTATTCTGTTTTACTTCGAGTTTGCCCGAAGTGTCAGTCCCCGAGTGGGGTGGTCGTGGCCTATAAAGATCGAGGGTTGCTTAAAAGGTCTTATGATCTCAGAGTTTTAATGATTCGATCTCGTTTATTTTTCGGACGATAGTCCCCGAGCGTGGGGGTAATTATCCGAACTCTGGTTATGGTCGGCCCTTAAGCATGTTTACATAATAGATCGAGAGTATAAAATTGTAAAGTAGAAAAAAATATCTAAGGCATGA